GTAAAGGTTTCACAACCCTTGTAGCAGTTTCACAACCCCTTGTAGAGGTTTCACAACCCTTGTAGCAGTTTCACAACCCCTTGTAGAGGTTTCACAACCCTTGTAGCAGTTTCACAACCCCTTGTAGAGGTTTCACAACCCTTGTAGCAGTTTCACAACCCCTTGTAGAGGTTTCACAACCCTTGTAGAGGTTTCACAACCCCTTGTAGAGGTTTCACAACCCTTGTAGCAGTTTCACAACCCCTTGTAGAGGTTTCACAACCCCTTGTAGAGGTTTCACAACCCCTTGTAGAGGTTTCACAACCCCTTGTAGAGGTTTCACAACCCTTGTAGAGGTTTCACAATCCCTTGTAGCAGTTTCACAACCCTTGTAGAGGTTTCACAATCCTTGTAGAGGTTCCACAATCCTTGTAGAGGTTTTACAACCCCTGTAGAGGTTTCACAACTCCTTGTAGAGGTTTCACAACCCCTTATAGAGGTTTCACAACCCTTATATAGGTTTCACAACTCCGCATGAATGCTTGCGAGTTCACATTTAATGGGGCGTTTGATCAAATGTTTGGAATGCCTCTGGGGCCACCGCCCCCCCCCCCCCTCCCCTTATATCTTTACCTAAATGGCACTCGGGGAAATAATGGGCTACCCACTATTATTAAGCCCCTACAATAACCTGGTTGAGCGGTGACAATTGATTGTTTGGTCGCAACAATGATGCTTCCCTGATTGAACTATATAAGCAAGTCATCCGTAAGATTGGAAGAAGATTGGACACTTCCAATCTGTAAGATTGGAAGTGTCAGCTGTGTTATTCACTACAGAGGTGTAAGAGACGATATGCATGATTCGTGTCATTAAAATTATTCATTAAAATTAATTGAAATTGTTAATTAAAATTATTAACGGAGACCTGCACATAGTAACTCTTAAATTGGTCATTTAATATTAGCAAATTTCACGCGATTCACACATTACCTATTGCGCCATGTTGGACTTCAGTAACACTTGCGCCATGTTGGGCTTCAGAGTCACACTTGTGCCATGTTGGGCTTCAGTAACACTTGCGCCATGTTGGGCTTCAGAGTCACACTTGCGCCATGTTGGGCTTCTGAGTAACACTTGCGCCATGTTGGGCTTCAGAGTAACACTTGCGCCATGTTGGGCTTCTGAGTAACACTTGCGCCATGTTGGGCTTCAGAGTCACACTTGCGCCATGTTGGGCTTCAGTAACACTTGCGCCATGTTGGGCTTCAGAGTAACACTTGCGCCATGTTGGGCTTCAAAGTCACACTTGCGCCATGTTGGGCTTCAAAGTAACACTTGTACCATGTTGGGCGTCAAAGTCACACTTGCGCCATGTTGGGCTTCAAAGTAACACTTGTACCATGTTGGGCGTCAAAGTCACACTTGCGCCATGTTGGGCTTCAAAGTAACACTTGTACCATGTTGGGCTTCAAAGTCACACTTGCACTACAACATGCCACATGGCTAGTAGGCCTATGTATACCATGTTGTATACATGTGGTCCTGCCCATGTTGACACATGTGGCACGTGTCACCCCCCCCCCCCTGGCCCTGCGGGTGCCTAACCCTAGAGCCAGGCTCAGGTAAACACCAGGGTCCCGCCCCCACAATACAACCTTTTATCTTGTGCTTCTTGGGATACGAGATTCGAACCCGGTCAATTAACAGACGCCATCTGCCGCAGTCGCCTCCCGGGCGCCACTACAGGCTCTCTGCTGCCATGGAGGACGTCATTCTTGGCCAGTCACGGGGAGGATAGCTTGTGACGTCACGGTGTTTTTGGCCAGTCAGAGGGAGGATTGCTTGTGACGTCACGGTGTTCTTGGCCAGTCAAGGGGAGGATAGCTTGTGACGTCACGGTGTTCTTGGCCAGTCAAGGGGAGGATAGCTTGTGACGTCACGGTGTTCTTGGCCAGTCAGAGGGAGGATAGCTTATGACGTCACGGTGTTCTTGGCCAGTCAGAGGGAGGATTGCTTGTGACGTCACGGTGTTCTTGGCCAGTCAGAGGGAGGATTGCTTGTGACGTCACGGTGTTCTTGGCCAGTCAGAGGGAGTATAGCTTGTGACGTCACGGTGTTCTTGGCCAGTCAGAGGGAGGATAGCTTGTGACGTCACGGTGTTCTTGGCCAGTCAGAGGGAGGATAGCTTGTGACATCACGGTGTTCTTGGCCAGTTAGGGGGAGTATAGCTTGTGACATCACGGTGTTCTTGGCCAGTTAGGGGGAGGATAGCTTGTGACATCACGGTGTTCTTGGCCAGTCAGAGGGAGGATAGCTTGTGACGTCACGGTGTTCTTGGCCAGTTAGGGGGAGTATAGCTTGTGACATCACGGTGTTCTTGGCCAGTTAGGGGGAGGATAGCTTGTGACATCACGGTGTTCTTGGCCAGTCAGAGGGAGGATAGCTTGTGACATCACGGTGTTCTTGGCCAGTTAGGGGGAGTATAGCTTGTGACATCACGGTGTTCTTGGCCAGTTAGGGGGAGTATAGCTTGTGACGTCACGGTGTTCTTGGCCAGTCAGAGGGAGTATAGCTTGTGACGTCACGGTGTTCTTGGTCAGTCAGAGGGAGGATAGCTTATGACGTCACGGTGTTCTTGGCCAGTTAGGGGGAGGATAGCTTGTGACATCACGGTGTTCTGGGCCAGTCAGAGGGAGTATAGCTTGTGACGTCACGGTGTTCTTGGCCAGTCAGAGGGAGTATAGCTTGTGACATCACGGTGTTCTTGGCCAGTCAGAGGGAGGATAGCTTGTGACGTCACGGTGTTCTTGGCCAGTTAGGGGGAGTATAGCTTGTGACGTCACGGTGTTCTTGGCCAGTCAGAGGGAGGATAGCTTGTGACATCACGGTGTTCTTGGCCAGTTAGGGGGAGGATAGCTTGTGACATCACGGTGTTCTGGGCCAGTCAGAGGGAGTATAGCTTGTGACGTCACGGTGTTCTTGGCCAGTCAGAGGGAGTATAGCTTGTGACATCACGGTGTTCTTGGCCAGTCAGAGGGAGGATAGCTTGTGACGTCACGGTGTTCTTGGCCAGTCAGAGGGAGTATAGCTTGTGACGTCACGGTGTTCTTGGCCAGTCAGAGGGAGTATAGCTTGTGACGTCACGGTGTTCTTGGTCAGTCAGAGGGAGGATAGCTTATGACGTCACGGTGTTCTTGACCAATCAGGGAGAGTATAGCGTGTGACGTCACGGTTGTAAGCAACATTTTTCTAACGCCAATTGTATAAGTATTTTACATGGTTGTCATTTGGTTATTGGCTAATTAATATATCTTGTAGCAGCGTGCACGAGAGAATTGCGTGACGCGGAGTAGTTTACGCAACCTTTGCGTGTTTGACGCAAGTTAGCCCAGGTGTTATTAGTTTACCTTGCTTAGTTTACACAATGACTAGCACTAGTTTACAGTGACATTACATGTGTAGCTCAGGTTGCAACCGGTTTACACACACATGTGACGTGACAGCAGTGTTGGGGGAGACAGGAGAGAGGAGACAGGAGACAGGAGACAGGAGACAGGAGACAGGAGACAAGAGACAAGAGACAGGAGAGAGGAGAGAGGAGACAGGAGACAGGAGACAAGAGACAGGAGACAAGAGACAAGAGACAAGAGACAAGAGACAGGAGACAGGAGACAAGAGACAGGAGACAGGAGACAGGAGACAGGAGACAAGAGACAGGAGGCAAGAGACAAGAGACAAGAGACAGGAGACAGGAGACAGGAGAGAGGAGACAGGAGACAGGAGACAAGAGACAAGAGACAGGTACAGGAGAGAGGAGACAGGAGACAGGAGACAGGAGAGAGGAGACAGGAGACCAGGTGACGTCCTAACCGTCTCATTGTAACTAGCCCTCGAGTTTGGTACATTATATAATAGCCCAATCGTCACCTGTGTTCCCAGAGGTGTCGGTAGCCACCGGCTGGAGGCCCTCGGGGCGCTCACTTGAGTCAATACCAAATTTTTTTCACACTAATTCGCAAATCAGCGAGAGGGGGGGGGCTATTGTGGAGTGGGGGGAGGTGTTTAGTGTCAGCCATTCCCATTGTCAGCCACCACCAGTGTCACCCACCACCAGTGTCACCCACCACCAGTGTCACCCACCACCAGTGTCACCCACCAACAGTGTCACCCACCAACAGTGTCACCGTGAAAGATTAGTTTTCCAGAACTGTCGGGTGTGGTATATTGCGGTCCGTCCAGTGCTGATTACACACTCATGTGCAGAATCCGGAGTGCAGGGTGTCGGAGTCGGTGTAAATGGGAGTGGCCCTGGCGCATGAGGGACGTCTGTGTGAAGCTCTAATTGCCCCGAACGAGGCAGTTCCCCAATGGTCGTCAGATGCGCCCATTGCGAAGTCGGTCTGGGAAGAACTGAAATTATTTATAACATAGTGGAGGAGTTCTAATGGAGGTCAGCCTTACTTTGTCCTACAGAAAATGGGTTTGAACCTTAGGTCAGGTAATGGGACCATTGTGACCTCTCTGTGACCTCTGTGAAATCACGTCACAGAGGTCACAGAGGTCACAGATTCTGGGCCGGGCTGCTATTCCACTGTGTCACGCTGCCGGGCTTGTGTTAGACAGGCGGCCGTCCGCCACCTGGGCCCTTTGGCGCCGCCATGACACCAGCCATGCCACCAGCCATGCCACCAGCCATGCCACCAGCCATGCCACCAGCCATGCCACCAGACATGCCACCAGACATGCCACCAGCCATGCCACCAGACATGCCACCAGACATGCCACCAGCCATGCCACCAGCCATGCCACCAGACATGCCACCAGACATGCCACCAGCCATGCCACCAGCCATGCCACCAGCCATGCCACCAGCCATGCCACCAGACATGCCACCAGACATGCCACCAGACATGCCACCAGCCATGCCACCAGCCATGCCACCAGACATGCCACCAGACATGCCACCAGCCATGCCACCAGACATGCCACCAGCCATGCCACCAGACATGCCACCAGCCATGCCACCAGACATGCCACCAGCCATGCCACCAGCCATGCCACCAGACATGCCACCAGCCATGCCACCAGCCATGCCACCAGACATGCCACCAGACATGCCACCAGCCATGCCACCAGCCATGCCACCAGCCATGCCACCAGCCATGCCACCAGCCATGCCACCAGACATGCCACCAGCCATGCCACCAGCCATGCCACCAGACATGCCACCAGACATGCCACCAGCCATGCCACCAGCCATGCCACCAGCCATGCCACCAGACATGCCACCAGCCATGCCACCAGCCATGCCACCAGACATGCCACCAGACATGCCACCAGACATACCACCAGCCATGCCACCAGCCATGCGACCAGACATGCCACCAGCCATGCCACCAGCCATGCCACCAGCCATGCCACCAGCCATGCCACCAGACATGCCACCAGCCATGCCACCAGCCATGCCACCAGCCATGCCATCAGCCATCATCAGCCGCGTGTCCACCTCGCTTGTATGAGTATGTGACAAGAGCCGCCCGCTAGTAAGTACAGAAACCTACTATTGTTGTTTCTGCTGCATGATTGCTGACCTGGTGAGCACCTGTCTGAGGAAGACAATCCACAGAGGAGTCACAGTCGACTAGAGTGCCCCAGTTCTTATGCCCGGGTCTTGTGCCCATGTTCTGGTACTTGATGGATCTTCATAGCCCTTATAGTCAACTAACTACCGTGAACAATTTGGTGACATTGCCTACAGTTGCAATCATAAACAAATTAATATTCCAGTCACCAAGCATGCAGTGTCTCTGCATGTGGGTGACACTGGAGACATCCATCTCCAGTGTCACTCATCGCCAGTGTCTCTGCAGTTGGGTGACACTGGAGACATCCATCTCCAGTGTCACTCATCGCCAGTGTCTCTGCAGTTGGGTGACACTGGAGACATCCATCTCCAGTGTCACTCATCGCCAGTGTCTCGGAACCTGCGTGATACCTGCTTGATGGGGTTCTGGGAGTTCTTCTACTCCCCAAGCCCGGCCCGAGGCCAGGCTTGACTTGTGAGAGTTTGGTCCACCAGGCTGTTGCTTGCAGCCTAGTGGACCAAAGTCCCGACTGTTAGTGACCACAGGTGGCTGTGGACCCACCTGCCTCACCTCCAGGTCGTCTGGTGAGCATTGTTTAGAGTCTTGAAGAGGCTCTTTAGAGTCATGAAGAGGCCTGAAGGTTAGCGCCTTACAGAGCACCTCTCCTACAAGACAATAGAGATTACCAACGCTCACGTCGGCCTCCGTACATAGTTTCAGTTCGTCTCTCCTAACTTCGGACTACTTAAACGGTCGTCTAACGGGGAGAGGAGCGGCGAGGAGTCTACTAGAGGCGCGAATAGGGCAGTTTGCTCGTTAATATTCTGGTGAGGCGTCGGATGGAGAGCTTCGAATACCAAGTGTGCCCCTAATGCCATTATGCAACCATCAATTTCTCTTTATTAGAGGGCAGTGGAGGGGTATGGGAGAGCAAGAGAGGGCAAGAGAGGGCAGGGGAGGGCAGGGAAGGGCAGGGAAGGACAGTGGAGGACACTGGAGGGAGTAGAGCAGTGGGAATGAAGGGTTGAGTGAAGGGACCAGAGGTCTAGTATGGAGGATATACTCAATAAATATTGCATGTTGGTGTTGAGGGGGGGGGGGGAGGTGCAGGGGCAGGGGGGTAGGGGGAAGGGGCAGAGGGCAGGGGGCTGTTGACTGGAAGAGAATGAGTGCATGATGAGAGGGGATTAAGGTAAAATAAATAAGTGAAAGGAGAATTGAATTCAAATTCAAATAGGTTTGTTGAGGTATAAATACACACAAAAGGAGAAAGGATGGAGGAAATGGACTGGAGAGAGAGAGAGAGAGAGAGAGAGAGAGAGAGAGAGAGAGAGAGAGAGAGAGAGAGAGAGAGAGAGAGAGAGAGAGAGAGAGAGAGAGAGAGAGAGATATCAAACAGGGAGGAGTGACTGGGGAACATGTATGCATAAATGGAAGCTTGAGACACAGATAATTTTAGTTAGCGTTATAGCGGGCAAATAGAGTGAACTAAACAGGAAGGTTCTAGATGCCCATGGAATGTCTGGGTTCAAGAGCTGAAGCTCGATCCTGCAGACAAGGCGAGCACTCACACGCACCAACGTGTAACCCACCACCTCGCAAGAAAGGTGACAAGAAAAATCTATAAAACGCAAAAAATCCTTGAATTGAATTCTGAGGATTTATGAAGAAAGGAGAGCAAAACAGCCTCTATAGTTTTCCAAGCAGCTGCCCAATCTCCCCCCCCCCCCTCTCTAAACCCCCCCATTAACCCCCCACCCCCCCACCACCACCCTCAACCCCCGCCCCCCCCCCCAGGGGCTGACAGTGTTGCCACACCCACCATCAATCTCTACTTCCCGCTTCTGCAAGCTGCCTCCTCATTTACCCAACCCGGGCGTCATTTGTTATGAAAATGGTCCGTTCTATTTGACAAAGATCCATCATGCCCGCCCCTCTTAAACTGTGTGTGTGTGTGTGTGAGTGAGTGTGTGTGTGTGTGTGTGTGTGAGTGTGTGTGTGTGTGTGTGTGTGTGTGTACTCACCTAGTTGTGCTTGCGGGGGTTGAGCTCTGGCTCTTTGGTCCCGTCTCTCAACTGTCAATCAACAGGTGTACAGGTTCCTGAGCCTACTGGGCTCTATCATATCTACACTTGAAACTGTGTATGGAGTCAGCCTCCACCACATCACTTCCTAATGCATTCCATTTGTCAACCACTCTGACACTAAAAAAGTTCTTTCTAATATCTCTGTGGCTCATTTGGGCACTCAGTTTCCACCTGTGTCCCCTAGTGCGTGTGCCCTTTGTGTTAAACAGCCTGTCTTTATCAACCCTGCCAATTCCCTTGAGGATCTTGAATGTGGTGATCATGTGTGTGTGTGTGTGTGTGTGTGAGGAATGGAGAAGAGGGAAGATGTGCACCTCGCTGGCTGGGTACTTCCATGAGGGTTATGTTTGAGTGTTGAGTACATATATATATATATATATATATATATATATATATATATATATATATATATATATAGATAGATAGATATATATAAGAGAAAGAGAGAGAGAGAGAACAGGAGAAATGTGATACGCTTACCATTTTGTTTTCTAATTGAGTTTGTAATTTATATAAGTTTGAAAAACTTTAAATGATTCACTGACCGTTATTGTACGAAACCATCCGTAGACCAACGAACCTGCGAACCTTCCGTCGACCGTTGGAAGATTTATATTGCTTTATTTAAATTTGAATTTAAAAAAATCATATTCCGTTGATATTTTGTCGCGCGTAAACTCAGATATTTCACAGAAATACAATGTCCGGGGCCGCAGTTTTGGGCGTGACAATAAACACCAATCAATATGCCACTCTTTGTGATTTATTCTAAATCCTCTACAGCCTCGGCGAATATATATATATATATTGATAAAAATTAATTTGATAAAATGCTATGCCCAAGATTACCATCCGAGTGCCGGCGGGGAAGTGGTTCAAATAGCTTCGGCTATCACTTCCTTATGTCCGGTCGTGATGGTCAAGCGGATTAAGGCGTCCTGTAGATACCAGTTGCGTTGCTCCTGGCAGTATGGGTTCGAGTCACTTCTGGGATGTGAGTTTTCAGTCGCATATAGTCCTGGGGACCATTCTGGCTTGTTCACACACACACACACACACACACACACACACACACACACACACACACACACACACACACACACACACACACATATATATATATATATATATATATATATATATATATATATATATATATATATATATATATATATATATATATATATATATATAGTCGCCAATATATGTCATTCTTAAGAAAGACGAATATCTGGCGAAAATGAACATCATACTCTCTGACCAAACTAAGTTCCAAAGGGTAACGAAGGACACTACAGCCGAATATATATATATATATATATATATATATATATATATATATATATATATATATATATATATATATATATATATATATATAATATCTATATATCTACAAATAAACATATTGCAACACTAAACAAACAAAAGAGGAATAATTTCAGTCAAGATGACAGCTTTTCCTAACACCTGTCACTCAACTACACAAAACAGAGGTGCGAAATAGTGTCGTGTTTTTCACAAATATTTTTTCCAACTGCCGAAAAAGATTATATAGTTGTCAAGAGATGTGTCCAGTCAGGGGTCCAGGGAGTTGTTGTTTCCAGCGATAGTGTCAAGCTGGTTTCTCATTGGCCCCTTTTACAGGCGGTCCAATCAGGATGGAGAGTCTCCCGCTGATGTCACGCGACGAAGCTAGGACAAAATAGCCAATAAAACGTTGTACCAACGTCGTAGTTTCGTCGGGGTGAGGTGTTTACAATGTGACGTTTCGAACAGAGGACGCTAACGGAGCGCTGTTCGAACGTGCGCAGTTGCGAGTCGTGTGGTAAGAGTACTCTTCACTACACACAGAAATCACAATAGCGTGATGCATCAAATGAACAAATCCACAAGGGCCGTGACGAGGATTCGAACCTGTGTCCGAGAGCATCCCATTTCCGGTTGCAATTCTTTTCATGTCGTAGCTCAGTCGATTAGGCAGCGTCGGGGATGCTCTCGGACATAAGTTCGAATCCTCGTCACGGCCCTTATGGATTTGTTTACTTCTCATTCATAAACAGGCGGGGCGGGGGGAGGGGGGGAAGGGGTGGTTCAGCGGCTAGAAACTAGCATTTAGCTATTGTTTATAAGCAATATTGTTTAAGCACAACATCTGGACTCCCCTAAAGTAATATACATGTTAGAGAACAAACACGTAGAGATGGGAGGAGGAGCGAATAAAATATTCTTTACAGCCCAGTTGGAAAAGAAACATTGTTATGACTTTATATATATATATATATATATATATATATATATATATATATATATATATATATATATATATATATATATATATATATATATATATATATATATATATATATATACCCCGTCTTAAAGGACTTTTAAGGTTGGGTGGAGTGGTTCAGTGAGCATTAAGGTGACCTGGTTCATGAACTACAACCTAAATTGCAATGTTGGTCAAGGGGTTCCACTAACGGCAAGAGGGGAAGGTTCAACAGTACCAGGAGGGTTCAACAGGAGCCAGGCGATGAGGGGAGAGCGAGAGATGAGGGGAGAGTGAGAGGTTGCAACGGGCTGCAACACTGCCCAATCGTTCGCCTTTACACGGTATATGAACCAGCCAATCATCGCCCCTTTCCCCTCTTTCTCTCTCTCCCCCCCCCCCCACGTTCACCTCACACCAAACTGACAGTAAACCTGCCGAGAGAACACTATAACAGAGAACACCGCGAAGCAGAACAAACCTGAACGAACACAAGAACACGTTCATCAATACTGGCCACCACAACGAGAACGTTAATGAAGTTTGACGTTAAAAAAAAATGAATAACATTCACGAAACGTTAAAGCGAGAACCACAAACTTGAAAACGTTTATCGTGTGACCCGGGAAACCCGACCTCCACCTGGCAAGTTGGGGAGGAAAAAATAGTGAAAATACAGGATAAATTATTCGTGGCTCTTCCCCCCCCCCCTCCCTCCCCCCCCCCCCCTCCCCCCCCCCCCCCCCCCCGAAAAAAAAACGCCAAAAATCCCAAAGTTGGTTTTGGCGGCGGGAAAGTATTTGGCGGGAAATAATCCCCCCCTCGGAGTATTTTTTTTGGCGCGGAGTTGGTGAAGAAAATGGACAAACTATAGTTGACAGGTAAGGATTTGACGGCAACTTTGGTGCACATTTTGGGAATATGGAAATGATGTGGAGATGACATAATGGCATCTCAAGATAATCATCTCAAGATAACCTCAAGATAACCTCAAGATAAGATGGCTGCTCCACATGTAGATGATAGCAGGCCCAGTAGTGTGGCTGCTCCACATGTAGATGATAGCAGCACCAGTAGTGTGGCTGCTCCACATGCAGATGATAGCAGCACCAGTAGTGTGGCTGCTCCACATGCAGATGATAGCAGCACCAGTAGTGTGGCTGCTCCACATGTAGATGATAGCAGCACCAGTAGTGTGGCTGCTCCACATGCAGATGATAGCAGGCCCAGTAGTGTGGCTGCTCCACATGCAGATGATAGCAGCACCAGTAGTGTGGCTGCTCCACATGTAGATGATAGCAGCACCAGTAGTGTGGCTGCTCCACATGCAGATGATAGCAGCACCAGTAGTGTGGCTGCTCCACATGCAGATGATAGCAGGCCCAGTAGTGTGGCTGCTCCACATGTAGATGATAGCAGGCCCAGTAGTGTGGCTACTCGACATGTAGATGATAGCAGCACCAGTAGTGTGGCTGCTCCACATGCAGATGATAGCAGGCCCAGTAGTGTGGCTGCTCCACATGTAGATGATAGCAGCACCAGTAGTGTGGCTGCTCCACATGCAGATGATAGCAGCACCAGTAGTGTGGCTGCTCCACATGCAGATGATAGCAGCACCAGTAGTGTGGCTGCTCCACATGTAGATGATAGCAGGCCCAGTAGTGTGGCTGCTCCACATGTAGATGATAGCAGCACCAGTAGTGTGGCTGCTCCACATGTAGATGATAGCAGCACCAGTAGTGTGGCTGCTCCACATGTAGATGATAGCAGCACCAGTAGTGTGGCTGCTCCACATGTAGATGATAGCAGCACCAGTAGTGTGGCTGCTCCACATGTAGATGATAGCAGCACCAGTAGTGTGGCTGCTCCACATGTAGATGATAGCAGCACCAGTAGTGTGGCTGCTCCACACTACTGGGGCAACAAGCTCGCGGTTCGCTGATATCTCCTCTTCCTGCGCACATTGCATTGGTTAGAGTTGAACTTCAGTAGCCATTCGTTCATTAAGTCCGCTCATATTATGTTCTGAAGTTCTCTACGGTGCAGTGGAGTGTGTGTGTGTGTGTGTGTGTGTGTGTGTGTGTGTGTGTGTGTGTGTGTGTGTGTGTGTGTGTGTGTGTGTGTGTGTGTGTGTGTGTGTGTGTGTGTGTACTCACCTAGTTGTGCTTGCGGGGGTTGAGCTCTGGCTCTTTGGTCCCGCCTCTCAACTGTCAATCAACAGGTGTACAGGTTCCTGAGCCTATTGGGCTCTATCATGTGTGTGTGTGTGTGTGTGTGTGTGTGTGTGTGTGTGTGTGTGTGTGTGTGTGTGTGTGTGTGTGTGTGTGTGTGTGCGTGTGTGTGTGTGTCTCATTAAGGTAAGGTGTGTGTACGACTGAACAATGTAAGCATATACAGCAAGACTGGGCGGGGTGGCGGCGCGGGTGGGGGGGGGGGGGTAGTTTAAACCCATCACCCCCCCCCCCTCCCTCCTCCTGTAGGCTCGCTGGCGTCCTGGATCAAGTGGTTGTGTACACTGGCTCAGGTGCGTGGGGTCGAACCCCGCTCTCGGATCATGTGGCAGGGGATACTTCCTCAAATTGTTCTACTCCGTCCGAACGGCTCTTGTACTCACCTAGATGAGCTAGCGGGGGTTGAGCTCTGGTTCTTAGGTCCCGCCTCTCAACTGTCAATCAACTGATGTACAGGTTCCTGAGCCTATTGGGCTCTATCATATCTACACTTGAAACTGTGTATGGAGTCAGCCTCCACCACATTACTTCCTAATGCATTCCATCTGTTAACTACTCTGACACTGAAAATTCCTTTCCAATATCTCTGTGGCTCATTTGGGCACTCGATTTCCACCTGTGTTCCTTAGTGAAGCCCCTTGTGTTAATTAAACTGTTTTAATGTACCCTATCAATTCCTCTAAAAATCTTGTATGTGGTGATCATGTCTTCCCTATCTCTTCTGTCTTCCAGCGACGTGAGGTTTAGTTCTCATTGTCTCTCCTCGTAGCTCATATCCCTCAGGTCGGGTACTAGTCTGGTGGCAAACCTCTGAATCTTCACCAAATTAGTCTTGTGCTTGACTAGATATGGACGCCATGCTACAGCTGCATACTTCAGGATTGGGCTGACATATGTGGTATACAAAGTTCTGAATGATTCCTTACACAAGTTTCTAAAGGCCGTTCTTATGTTGGCCAACCTGGCGTATGCCGCCGATGTCGTCCTCTAGATATGGGCTTCAGGTTACAGGTCTGGCGTGATATCACAACCCGTACTCTTAAAAATAACGTCGCTTTTGGCTCGTACGCGCGCTATGGCCAAAAGTGGACGTAATTTGAAATGAAATTGGCTCACGAAAGTGATGTACTGTCCCGTTTTCTGTTTGAGTCGTCTAGCTTACTCGGAAAGGTTAGGAGAGGAAACTTTCCATTAACGTTTTTCATAACGTTTTGAAACTTTATGAGAATTTCCTGCCCACCTAACCTATCAGACGACCCTTAACTAGCTGTTGTTGAAAAAAATCTCAAATTTATTTTCATTTTTTCATTTTCAAATTACGTCCACTTTCGGCCATACGGGTAAACGGCCAAAAGCGACGTTATTTTTAAGAGGACAGGTTGGATCCCACTGTCTCCTCTGTTCGGACGGCTGTCTTGTATCTGTCTGCCCCGTCTCCTATATCCGGACATCTGTCTCCCACAACCGGACATCCGTCTCCCACAACCGGACATCTGTCTCCCACAACCGGACATCCGTCTCCCACAACCGGACATCCGTCTCCCACAACCGGACATCTGTCTCCCACAACCGGACATCCGTCTCCCACAACCGGACAACCGTCTCCCACAACCGGACAACCGTCTCCCACAACCGGACATCCGTCTCCCACAACCGGACAACCGTCTCCCACAACCGGACATCCGTCTCCCACAACCGGACAACCGTCTCCCACAACCGGACAACCGTCTCCCACAACCGGACATCCGTCTCCCACAACCGCACAACCGTCTCCCACAACCGGACATGTCTCCCACAACCGGACATCTGTCTCCCACAACCGGACATGTCTCCCACAACCGGACATGTCTCCCACAACCGGACATGTCTCCCACAACCGGACATCCGCCTCCCACAACCGGACATGTCTCCCACAACCGGACATGTCTCCCACAACCGGACATGTCTCCCACAACCGGACATCCGCCTCCCACAACCGGACATGTCTCCCACAACCGGACATGTCTCCCACAACCGGACATGTCTCCCACAACCGGACATCCGCCTCCCACAACCGGACATGTCTCCCACAACCGGACATGTCTCCCACAACCGGACAACCGTCTCACACAACCGGACAACCGTCTCCCACAACCGGACATCCGCCTCCCACAACCGGACAACCGTCTCCCACAACCGGACAACCGTCTCCCACAACCGGACAACCGTCTCCCACAACCGGACAACCGTCTCCCACAACCGGACAACCGTCTCCAACAACCGGACATGTCTCCCACAACCGGACAACCGTCTCCAACAACCGGACAACCGTCTCCCACAACCGGACAACCGTCTCCCACAACCGGACATGTCTCCCACAACCGGACAACCGTCTCCAACAACCGGACAACCGTCTCCCACAACCGGACAGGCACTCTTGGGACCTTACACTTGCGCTTGCTTCCTTTGCTTTGTTTTACATACACTCTTCATGCACTTTTGTCGTCTATTCACTCAGCTGTCTGTGCCTGCGGGATCGAGCTTTGGCTCCCGGTTCCCGCCTTTCTAGTCGATGGTTGCCTAATGGATATGTTGTTTTCCTTTTCTTTTTCTGTTATATCTACTGTTGAACTCATCAGTAGAGTTCGCTTTAACAACCTGATCATTCAGGTCATTGCATTTCCCTACAACTGTTACACTAGTTGTGTCTACGGAGGGCGAGCTGTAGCTCTCAAGCCCCGCCTCGTAGCTGTTGGGGAGAGGTTTAACAAGAGATTAGTTCGAGAACTATCATCTGTTGCGAGATAATTGTCACCTAAAGGTTGAACAGCTGGGACACTGTTCTCTCTCTCTCTCTCTCTCTCTCTCTCTCTCTCTCTCTCTCTCTCTCTCTCTCTCTCTCTCTCTCTCTCTCTCTCTCTCTCTCTCTCTCTCTCTTTCTCTCTCTCTCTCTTCTTCTCTCTCTCTCTCTCTCTCTCTCTCTCTCTCTCTCTCTCTCTCTCTCTCTCTCTCTCTCTCTCTCTCTCTCTCTCTCTCTCTCTCTCTCTCTCCCATCAGGCTCATCAAAAGTGAGAGTTAGCGAGGTGGAAGAGGAGGAAGGAAGAGGGAGATGACTCCAGTGGGTAATGTGCTGATGCTGGGAGCCAGGTCTCTTTCAGGTATTAGACGGAGCCGGGTCTTTGCCTCTTCCTCTATCCCTCTCTCCCATACTCCCATTTCCCTGCCTCCTTCCTTCCCTCCCATTCTTCCTCTCACCCAACCCCCCTCCCCCCCATCCCACATTCTCTCTCCCTCACATCCGTGGCCCAAACAATCCAACTCCTACATACCAGGCGAGAGTGGAGCGATGTTTCGCTCCGTCCTGAACCCGTATCGTACCGTCACCACCTGATGATACCTTGAGGTGCTTCCGGGGCTTAGTGTCCCCGCGGTCCGGTCGTCGACCAGGCCTCCTGGTTGCTGGACTCATCAACCAGGCTGTTAGACGCGGCTGCTCGCAGCCTGACGTATGAGTCACAGCCTGGTTGATCAGGTACTGATGATCACAACTGAAGCACCAATATATGAAAACATATTTCTGTTGGATGTGACTCGTCGCCCAATCATCACAGGGGAAGGGGGGGGGGGTTTGCTGAAGCTTTTATATAGGCTTGTTAAGAGCCTATATATATATATATATATATATATATATATATATATATATATATATATATATATATATATATTATATATATATATAGGAATGAACCACACATTGCTAGGTTCATTCTCCCGTCTTTCTAGTGAGTTGCTTACATACGTAGTGTTATTGTGCTAATGTATTCATAACGATGTTAGTAATGTTAGATTTTCTGCTTGAAATATAGCTATTGTTAGATGTGCTGTTGGAGATATCTGTATTCCAGGATGTTCTGTTGGAGATATCTGTATTCCAGGATGTTCTGTTGGAGATATCTGTATCCCAGGATGTTCTGTTGGAGATATCTGTATTCCAGGATGTTCTGTTGGAGATATCTGTATTCCAGGATGTTCTGTTGGAGATATCTGTATTCCAGGATGTTCTGTTAGAGATATCTGTATTCCAGGATGTTCTGTTAGAGATATCTGTATTCCAGGATGTTCTGTTAGAGATATCTGTATTCCAGGATGTTCTGTTGGAGATATCTGTATTCCAGGATGTTCTGTTGGAGATATCTGTATTCCAGGATGTTCTGTTAGAGATATCTGTATTCCAGGATGTTCTGTTGGAGATATCTGTATTCCAGGATGTTCTGTTGGAGATATCTGTATTCCAGGATGTTCTGTTGGAGATATCTGTATTCCAGGATGTTCTGTTGGAGATATCTGTATTCCAGGATGTTCTGTGGAGATATCTGTATTCCAGGATGTTCTGTTAGAGATATCTGTATTCCAGGATGTTCTGTTGGAGATATCTGTATTCCAGGATGTTCTGTTAGAGATATCTGTATTCCAGGATGTTCTGTTGGAGATATCTGTATTCCAGGATGTTCTGTTGGAGATATCTGTATTCCAGGATGTTCTGTTAGAGATATCTGTATTCCAGGATGTTCTGTTGGAGATATCTGTATTCCAGGATGTTCTGTTAGAGATATCTGTATTCCAGGATGTTCTGTTGGAGATATCTGTATTCCAGGATGTTCTGTTAGAGATATCTGTATCCCAGGATGTTCTGTTGGAGATATCTGTATTCCAGGATGTTCTGTTGGAGATATCTGTATTCCAGGATGTTCTGCTGGAGATAGTACTGAATCGACGTATTCTGCCCGATGGACATAGTTACTCCTCTGGGAACATCGTTACTAACGACATACTCTGATGGGAACTTTAAATTTTTACAAAGTAGTTTTTTTGGGGAAAATTAATATCAGTTGATGAGAGAGTTTCTTTGGAGATTTGCTTGTATCTTGAGGGGAGTGTAGTCGTTGTTCCTCTGTTGCAAGGTCTCGCTGTAGCAAGGTCTCGTTGTTGCAAGGTCTTGTACTTACAAGGTCTAACTGTAGCAAAAGAGACGGGTCAGGCAGACAGCCAGCTGCCCAGGCAGACAGCCAGCTGGTCAGGCAGACAGCCAGCTGCCCAGGCAGACAGCCAGCTGCCCAGGCAGACAGCCAGCTGCCCAGGCAGACAGCCAGCTGCCCAGGCAGACAGCCAGCTGCCCAGGCAGACAGCCAGCTGCCCAGGCAGACAGCCAGCTGCCCAGGCAGACAGCCAGCTGCCCAGGCAGACAGCCAGCTGCCCAGGCAGACAGCCAGCTGCCCAGGCAGACAATGGGCACAGCAAGACTCCAGAAAGATTTTTTTACCATTGATACACACAAGTAGACACGGAGGCAGACAGACAGGCAGACAGATAACAGATATAGACAGAGTATAAGTCACAATAACACGACTGACAGACAGGCAGACAGATAACAGATATAGACAGAGTATAAGTCACAATAACACGACTGACAGACACCCAACCCACACATCTGAAAATAACGGAAGTCACGACATTTCGGTCCATCCCAGACCATTATCAAGTCTTGAAAATGGTCCGAGACGGACTGAAACGTTTTTATTTCCTTCATTTTCAGACATATGGGTTGTCCGAACAATTTCTTCGACCGGTCAGATATAACACAAATAAGGAACAACAGTTTTAATCTCAACAAGCCGCAGTATGGGACTGAAAG